CATTGTATTTATAGTTTTATACATTTTATGGGTTAATATACTGAGTTCACTATAAACAATGCTCTGATACCAATCTGTCACACCCACAAACCGGAACGACGGAAACGTTCAGGGGCGAAGGACGTCATGTATAGTATCACAACAATTGAGTAATAGTAATCAAAGCAACAACAACCATTGTATTAGTAATGTAGCGTTTACATTGTATTCAAATCACATATGATTGACTCCGAAAGTAATTAGCAAAATAAAGAATTGAAGCTACTATGCTCCCTCTTCTAGTACCTGCACGAGTACCTGTCTACTAGTGCCCTGAGAATACAAGTGGTTTTGAAAGTGTCAACATTAAAGTTGGTGAGTTCATAAGCATTTTGTTTTCGAAAGCATGTTCTTTGTTCTTTGAAAACCTTAGTGTGTTCCTCCAGAAAATCGTATATTTTCTGATGGAATGAATGTAAGAAATGTGACCCATGCTAGTTCCTTCTACAAGTACTTAGCGGATACAAGCTATATACAAGTTGGATCTAGGAGACAATCGACTGTGTGGTTCTGCCCTAAGCCCACAACCAAACAAGGAACAGGAAATGAGGCCGAAATCATACATTCCACTATCTGTCGGATCTTCATTGTGTATAACCCTAACGCATTCACTAGGTACTTATAAAATTAACAACAATGGTTCTTTTTGAAATGTAAGTATATTCTTGCAGAAAATCCTATATTTTCTGATGTAATGAAATGTAAGTTCTGTTGACTTGTACTTGGAAAAGTAATGTAATACGGTTGTGTTTGTAATTCAACCCTTTTTGTATGCCTGTACCTTGTTATACGTCCTTTCAGAAAAGTATGTTTTGTACTAGAAAATAGCGTATTGTACTTGTATATAGTGACCTGACCCATAACTGTTTCCCCCTATGATTACTTAGTGTATACATGTCATGTATAACCAAGATCGAATTGATAGTAGACTGTATGAATCTGCTCTAAGCCCACAACCAAACAAGGAACATGAAATGAAGCGGAAATCACCCATCCTACTACCTATCGGACCCTATAAATAGACATCACCTTTAACACATAAACTAAGGAATCATAGTGTTAACATTATAGGTCCCTTTGGATTTGTATACTCATGTTACTTGTAAAAATGGTGTGACCTTATTATTTGGATAAAAACCTATAAAGTAGTGTTAATCCCGTAAACATCGTTTAGTTGATAATATTGTGAGTTTCATATAACCATGCTTGATATGACCTAGTGACCTCTAAGACGTTCTTCAGGCGTCTGAAAGTTATGACATCTGTCACCACATGCCTACCAGCCTAGCTGTTGCAAGCAGTTCTGGTGCGGGATTGTCAGTCCCGTATAGATCTATACACAAATATCATGCTCTCCCTCCAGGAGACTCTGGTTATACTGTATAGAATTTAGATCCGTACCCTGATGGATACTAGTGAAGTAGTGAGTCACAACCCTGTATTAACTAGTTTACGTGTAGTGTTGTAGTGTTGTAGTGTCCTCTTGTATTAAAAACTGTATGTATTGCATTGTATTAATGTATCTTGTAGTGTAAACCAATTATACTTAAATAATTATTTTAATAGTGGATATTTGTGTCAATGTATTAGAGTAGTGTTTCCCAAACTATACCTATTATAGTTTTGATTGTATATTTTTGTTCCATGTATTGTACTTAGCAAATAGTGTTGTGAATCTCAACCTATACTGATTATAGTTTAACTGTGATGTTTTGTAGTGTAATGTAAACATTTGCAATATATTTATATAAAAGCAATTTACCCTTATGCTCGACATATTACAAAAGGGTTAAAAATATATGAAATACTTTTAGGAAATGTAGCAAATGCTTGGTGTGAACCAATTGCAAAGGTTTTAAAACTATTTAAAAATATTTGAATAAACACAAAAATCCTTGTGTTTTACTTGTATTCTCCCCCTAAAAATAATAAAAACATTGAAAATGTAGGGTTATGAACTCACCTTTAACGTGTTTGCTCGGTTGAGTCACGAAGTGCTAACGATGATTCTTGGACTACCGTACGCGCGAATAACGTTATCTTAAAAATAATTATATTTGACGTCGTATTTAAATTAATAAGATATTAATTTAAATAATGAATTAAATAATGTTGGAAATAATAATTAAAGTGTTAAACAACACTTTAATCACGTTAGGAATACTTACAATAATTATTTGGAATTATTTGGAAATGTTGCAAAGTGTTTTTGGTTGGTAAAATTGGTTTATGGTTGGACCTATGGGTTTATAGTTGGATCTTGGTGTTCTTGAGTGATGTTTGAAGATTTGAAGATATTATCAATGTTCTTGGGGAATTGATTGAAGATTTGAAGATTTGTTGAAGATGTGGGCGTAAACACTTGAAGATTGAGTGAAAAAGCAGGTGTTCACAGATGATAGTTGAGAGGATTTGAGAGTGGTTCACGGTTGGAAAGTGGAGAAATGAATTAATTCCTGGGTGAAAATACACACACACACACACACACACACACACTATATATATATATATATATATATATATATATATATATATATATATATATATGGGGTGTTTACGGTTGAAGTGGTATTGGGCTTTAGTGTTTATGGTTCAACACTTTGGGTTTTCACCCCTAAATGGGCCTTGATTGCTGTTCACGGTCATAACATGGTTGTGAACACCTTGTTCTTTGATTTCTAGGCCATGAACAACTTCCTTGAATCCTACTTGGACGTGAACACATTGGACTTTCCTTTTTCTAGGCCGTGAACACATTAGGTTCTAGATTGTTTGGCCGTGAACTCTTCCTTTCTAGAACCCCTTGGCCGAAACACACCTATGGTGTGTTATTTATGGTTTAAACCCTCATCTTTTGCCATGTGTTGGGTTATACCTTCCTAACCTAGCTTAGGTTTAAACCCTCATCTTTTGCCATCTTTTGCCATGTGTTGGGTTATACCTTCCTAAACAAGGCCTAAGGCTATAGAGGACACCATGCAACAAGGATTGCAATATAGTTTAATACTAGTACTTGGTTAGGGTTTAGACCATGCAAGGTCTAAAATTTGGAGTTGTGACATTATCCCCCCGTTAGAGGGAATTTCGTCCCGAAATTCGAATCCTAAATGGCTACTAGAAATTAGGAAAGAGAGCTCTGTTCCATATGATCTTCTTGTCCCCAAGTGGATACTGATCCTCGCTTGGAATTCCAACGGATCTTCACTGTTGGGTCTGTTGTTCTGATTGGTAGAAAGTGTGCGGGTTTGACTTACTTGTCTATGTTCATTCGAATGATAGCATGTACGCTCGTAGTCCGGGACAACCTTTTGTCCTGTAGTTCATAGTAGGACTTATACTTGGTCATCCATCATCTCCTCGTGTATACAAATCGTATACAATGGCAACAATCTTTTGGCCCAAAATGAGTACATTAAGCCCTTGCCTCCAATGTCTAGGAGGATGCCTGGTAGGCCTACTGCCAATAGAAGGAGGCATGCCATTGAGAAGGAAAGCCAATTTGCAACAACTAAAGTGAAGGTTCCAAGAACTATCAATGTAGAAAATGTTTAGAGTATGGTCATAAACAAAGGGCATGTAAGAATGAGAGAAAACAATATGTTCATACCCCACAAAGGAATATAGGAAGGCCAAGAAAAAAATCATATTCCCCCATCAACTGCATCTATTCCTAACCAAGCACCAGTTACTACAGGCCCTACTCAACTAAATGTCCCAAGTTAACCTTAATGCTCTAACACAGTAAGGAGGAGTCCAATGAAACATCAAACTTCAAGCTCTAACACAGTAAGTAGGATTCCAAGAAAATATCCTATTCACCTAGTAACTGGTATTGTCCCCAAGCAACAATCAGGTCCTAAAAGAGTGAGGAAGAGTGGTATTGATGCACATAGGAAGAAATTGTGTACAAGGAGTGGTGGTGGGAGGATTTGTTGGAGATAATGTCTAAGTCCATAACTATATTTGGTATGTACTTGACCCGACCCGACATGGTCCATTTGGGTTGCACTTCACCCGAACAATTTATGGATAATCGTTTGAGAATAGTATAAGTTATGATTTATTAATATATTATAAGTCCTAATATATTAATATAAAATAATATTATTTAATTAGTATTTATCTATAATTAATTTAGAATTAATTTAGAGATCAAAAGTATGACTAATTAAATATGGGCTCTTGTATTTATATAGTGTGGGCTAATGCTTATTTGGAATGGGCTAGGCTTGCATGGAAAGTCCATGGATACTCCATGGAGCTTTAACCCATGGATCTCATGGAAATGAAAAGACATGGGTATTAGGGTTTACATGGATGTAACCCTAATCCACCACACTATATAAAGGAGGCTTTGGTTCTTGAAATTGGAGGAGTTGATGTGTGTAAACTAAGAGGGCCGATTTCAAGAAGTTTGTGACTATTCTCTCAAGTTTCCAAGTTTGTGGTGATTTGTGACTTCCATTTGAGGCATCCACATTATTGGTGCTAGGCTCTCAAACTCCAAGCAATCAACTACTACCACAAGGTAAGTAATTCTACTAGTTTTATTTGATTCAAGTACCCCATGCCATGCTAGTTAGGATAAGAACCTTGGAAAAATAATTATTTGCATGTATCTTAGTCAAACATAGATCCAAGGTTTCTAGGGTTGCATGTACACCATAGGAGTGTTAGAATGCTAAAAACCCATCAGGATTGGTACTCCAAAACCATGGAATAATACTCCAATTGTAGGTAGTCAAGAAAGTGTGGTTCAAGAATCTATTAATCAAGAAAGGTTGGTTCAACAATCTGTTAATCAAGAAAAAGAGGGTGATAATGTTCCTAATGCAACTACTAATCAAGAAGTTCCAGTTGCTGATGAGGGTACTAATGTTCCTAATGCAGCTACTAATCAATAAGTCCCTAATGCAACTACTAATCAAGAGGTTCCAATTGTTGATGAGGGTAATAAATTCATGCAAGAAGGTGCTAACATTGGTGCTAATGTTGTAGAAGAAGGTGTGGTGCAGGATGATCATATGATGCAAGCATGTGTTACTACTACTCAAAGAAATGTGATGCAAGGTAGTGATACTTTTGGGCAAGTAGGATCCGGTATAGGTAGGGAGATTAAAATAAATTCATGATGAAATTGAACAAGGTATTGAATCAACTTTACAAGGGGATTAAAAGTCAAATCAAAGTAAGGGTAAAAATGTGGTGGAAGATAATGAAGTGATTGAGTTTATTGAAGGGAAATAGGATAATATTATGTTAGAGAAGATACGAATGGGCATTTAAGACATTGAAAATATGCTAGAAGCTGGTTATAGAATTATAGAAATAGAAGCTATGCCATGGGTACAATTGGAATTGTATGATTTTCCACTAATTGAACTGGTTAGACCTCTTTTATTTTTTCAGTTAACAATTGTCTTGTTCAATGTTGTGATCTAATTGTTTTTTTAAACTAGGATGTGAAAGATTTCATTGATGATCACTTATCTAATGATGATGTTGATCTGGATGGTGGAGCTGGAGGTGTTGGAACTGTTGCTGATGGTGTTGGTGGGGGTGATGATAAGGGAGATGGTGCTGGTGATGTTGATGATGGTGATGGAGCTGAAGGTGATGGTGATAATCCGAGTGATGATGATGGAAATCAGGCTGATGATGAAGGACATGAGGTTATCCCGGTGGTTAAGAGAACAAGGAAAATATCTGATAGGATAACCAAAAATAAAGCTATGGAAGGGTGTGTATAACAAAGATGGTGGTGGTTCTTCTTCTACAAATCCAGTCACCTTGGAGTAGTTTGTTAGGAAGAACGGGGATAGGGTGTAGTGGGGAGTTGGGATGGTATAGATGAAGGGTTTTGAGCAATTCTAACACTCCTAAGTGTACATGCAACCCTAGAAAATCTTGGATCTATGTTTGTCTAAAGTACATGCAAAATACTTTTTCCAAGGTTCATAAACCTATCTAGCATACATGGGGAACTTTATAATATAAAAGATAGCTAGAATTACATACCTTGTATTTGTTATGATTCCTTGAAACCTTGAGAGCCTAGCACCCCAAGTGTGATGCCTCAAATGTTTCACACAACACCAAATGCTTTGGAATAACTTTGAGAGATATGAAGAGCACTTGAAAATCGGCCTATCCCTCTTGCAACTTCTTGTGTAGCCGATTTTGGTGTATGACATGTTCTTTATATAGTGTGTCACATCTAGGGTTACACCATGTAAAACCTAATGTGGCATGACTCTTCATTTCCATGACCCATGGGTTTGTAACTCCCATGGAGCCTCCATGGACCATCAAATGGGTTTAACCCAACTTGATTATCCATGGAGTCTTTTAGCCCACTATACAAGTTATGGATGATTTACATAATCAACCCATATATTTAATTAGTCACTTTTTGATCACTTAATTAATCCTAGATTAATTCTTGATCAATACTAATTAAATAATACTATTTATATATTAGAACTTATAATATATTAATAAACCACAAGTGTTATTTCTCTCATTTAGTCTATCCAAATGCATGATGCCATGCAACCCAAATGGACCATGTCGGGTCGGGTCAAGTACATACCATAAATAGTTATGGACTTAGACACCTTATCCAACAGTCTCCCACTTGGATAAGTCTAATAACTATAACTGCAAGTATGACTTCAGGAACCGATCAGTAATCGTAGCTCATTTCAAGGTTTCTCGGAACTGAGAAGATGATGGTACGCCATTTCAGATAAGTGATCATATAATCCTCTGTTCTAGATATCAGCCGGACAAATACATGGAACAATGTCTTACTTTTGTCCAGCAGTTTGTTTCCCGATTACCGATTTGTTTGACATAGAACTTAATTGAACACATCAACTTAGTTCTGACCGGGCCCGGTACATGGGTCAAAACAAAATCATCGAGGGGCCCAGATATCGCTTCTAATCCAAGAAGGAACGGATAAACTTCGACTCATATGCTTGTTCTACTACTTGTTAAATCACACACAAACACACGTTTTATAACATCGAGTTACCAATGCGTTTTCGCACGATCAATGCATAACTAACTCATACTCAACAAGTCATATCTCTAGGTTTGAAGACTTATATGATATTACCGTCTCACGATCACTCAAGATAAATTCCATGAAGTGATACCAGCGAGCGTGGGTTGAATCCAATACTCAGAACTTATGAGCACTCATGAGTGTTGAGGCCATGTCCAACATCTTAGACCTCTACAACCAACCCATGGCAGTCTTACTTCATATCTACTTCCAACATATGACTGACTGTGGATAATTTGAATAATATGTAAACACAACATAAATATTATGGAAGTCAAAACATGCAAAAGAAATAATAGTAAACGATTGACAAAAGATAGCAACACTTTACTCATAAATAAACACAACTTTTATTCATCATCAAATGTCAATTACAATTTACATATTTCAAAATTATCTAACTACTAAAACTAATATCATCCTTCAGCCCTATGCTCCTTGCATGCTGGAGATGCTTAACCCTACCCAGTCCCTTCGTGAGGGGATCTGTCGGGTTCTCATCCGATGATACCCTCTTTGCCACGAGGAGTCCTTCTTCTATATGATGTCTGATGAAATGGTATTTTCTGTCAATGTGTCTGGATCTCCCGTGATCCCTTGGTTCCTTTGCTAAGGCAACAACACTTTCACTATCACAGAAGATTTCCATAGGCTCCTTAATAGCTGGTACAACTCCAAGATCTCCAATGAAGTTCTTCAGCCATATCTGTGACATCCCCTAATTTCTCGGCCAGAAAAGACCGATTTAATTTATGCTTTTTAAAATAAAATCAGAGAAATCTTTTCAAAAGATATTGCGGAATAGGTCCCCAATATAAAACATGATAATGTTTATCAAAACCTTTCTTTAAGAAATATATAATTTCCTTTTATATTAAAACCACGGGATGTCATATTCCGATATAGATCAAAAGCATAAACAAGACATTATAAGCCTTACAACAGTTATTTATAACTACTGGCCTATAATCCATAAATCACTCATCATCATCATCCGACTATGCTCGGGGTTCACTACCTGTAATCATAAAAAGCTGAGTGGGTCAGGTTTGGAAGCCTGGTGAGCATATAGGGTTTTCAACCCACAATAAATAAATTTATTGTACTTAAACATCAATCAATCAACCAAATTACCCCAACCCCATTATCTTATTAATTTCTTAAGGGTTTACCCTAAGATTCAACTATCACTCCTTCCTAAGGATTCATCCTAAGGAATAGGCACAAGGTCACACCATCACCAGGGTTTATACAACAGGGGCTAAATTCATAGCTCTTATTTATTGACAGTATTATTGACAGTATTCACCCCTGTCATACATGTCAATAGGTTTTTAGAGTACTCCAAATGAACATATAGTTCATTACACCTACAGGTTGCGGGCCTGCTAGTGTTCCACAGACCATCTAGAATAGTCCATGGTTGTCATCCCTACTCTGCTGAATGACGGGGGTCACTGTTTGGGTAAGGGCTTATCTCATATTTCACCACTTACCCTCAACTTATGATCTCCTTTCACCACTCACCCTCAACTTATGATCAATATTACTGATCATCTCCTTTATCCAACTCACCTTTCATCACACACCCATTATTTCATCTACCCATGTTTGACCCAACATTTTTGTAGATAAAAATACAAATACAGTTTAAATTATTTAAAAACATGTATCAATCACACCTTCAACATCCAACTCAAATAAACAAAAAATAAATATTCACATAGCAAGTATTCTATATAAAATACTTCATATCTATGTGTAAGGTGAAAGTAACTACACACTCACCTGATTTAATGAAAATCGGGCAGCAATTCGTTTCCTAAAACGATCGTTTCTAATAAAACCGAGAGTTTTATTGAGAAACCGGGCTCTGCGAAGGGTCGGGCTTCGAAACCGAAAAGATAAATTTTCCGGGCTTCACGGGCACTTCGTGGCGTATTCCGGGGGTTATAATCGATATCGGGGCTTCAGGGGAAGTTAGAATGAAAGAAATATGGGTTTAGGGGCTAAAATTGACAAGTTTTCAAAATACCCCCGGGAGGTCTCGCACCCTTCTATTTATAGGGGCGAGCCTCCTGATCCAACGGCTGAGAAGCCTCCAGGTGTGCTGATCCGAGGACTCGCAGGGGATGGCTCGCACATGGCTCGCACCTGCGAAGGCTTGCTGGCAGCTCCTTACTGGACCGAGGTCTAGGGTCCGAAGTAGAGGCATCGTGGCATGCTGCGAGGGTTCGGTCTCGTGCAAGAAGGTACGTGTCGCACCGCTATTGGACCACTTCGGATCAGATCAGGTGCTCGGATGACTCAGCAGCTTGGACACGTGGCTCGCCTGACTCACCCATTTCGGACACGTGGCACGTTCTAAGCGAGGGTGACGTGGCAAATCGTGACTATGCGAATTTTCTCGGTTTTTGTGCAAAAACTTCTAAAATCCATAACTTTTGCATACGAGCTCCGTTTTTGACGTTCTTTATATGCACGCGTAGGTAAAATTACGCTCTACAACTTCCGTTTAGACTTTGTCGGCTAATTTTGATTTTAATTTTTATATTATTATTTTTAACAGACCGGGACAGGAAATCCGTTAAAAATTCATAACTTCTTCATCCGACGTCCGTTTTCGTCAGACTTTTTACCGTTGTGCTACTATTTACGAGACCTTCGATTCTCGTTTAGGTCGTGTCGGCTAAAAATCACTCGATATAAAATTCGAGTTTTTAGCTGTCTACTGCTAAGCTGAAACTTCGAAAAATCATAACTTCCTCATACGAAGTCAGATTTGGGCGTTCTTGTTATACATACTCTCGGTTTAACGAACACTACAAGTTTTGTTTAGATTACTAAGGCTAAAAACTAGTTTATCAAAAACTCACTTTTTACGACATTCGGCACCGTACCGGTTTGTTGCAAAACTTCGACAGGTCATAACTTCTTCGTTATAACTCGGATTTCGGCATTCTTTATATATCCGTAATCCTTGTCACGCCCACCACAAGTTTCTTAATAGATATCGGCTTTATCTAAAATTTAATTTTTGACGCTCATTTTTATTCTTAATTATTTAAACCCTAATAATTAAGCATAAAACACATAAAACACATAATATTCACATAATTCCTTTTCATTTCTCCAAAATGAGTCACAAAGGTTAACCTAGACCATTATGTCAATATTAATGCCTAGCCTAGAAACACGGGCGTTACAACTCTCTCCCCCTTAGGATGATTCCGTCGCCGGAATCACACAACGACAAACAACTACGGGTAGCGACTCACAATGTCACTCTCCATTTCCCAGGTGAGATTTGGCCCATTTATATGTTTCCAACGCACAAGCACTAAATCGACTATCTTACGTTACAACTTCTTAGTCTTATGGTCAACGATTGCCTCAAGTTCTCCAATTAACCTCTTGCTCTCATCCAACCTTAATTCAGATATGGGAATTATGTCGGGCACACCTCCCGTGAACTTCCTCAAATAACACACATGAAATGTGTTATGAATACTCTCCAGTTCTTCCGGTAATTCTAGCTTGTAAGCTTGATTCCTGATCCTCCGAAGAACTTTAAATGGTCCAATAAACCTTGGACTCAACTTTCCCCTTCTACCAAACCTTATAAGTCCCTTCCATGACGAGACTTTAAGTAAAACCGAATCTCCAACTTTGAATGAT